AATCTGGAAAATAAGGGTCGATATTCGACGGCTCAAGGGCACATTGTGTTTTTTAATCTCAACCTTTACGATTTTTCGTAATTCCGCGTGTCAATTTAGTATAAAATTCGAACTTTAGAGTAAAACTTGAACTTTAAAATGAAGAAACACGTTCGTTTCTTTCGTTTAAAGAAATTTTCATCGATTTTCCGGAAAATCACTCCACCAGTTTTATTCGATTTTTCTTGGCGTTAGTTTTATTTAAGGGAGACGCGATTCGAGTGTTTCTCGGCTGTTTTCAACGTGAAAGATACGATACTTGTTCTTTTTGGATTCATTTTTCGCGAAACATATCCTGCTCTGTTGACGATCAACGACACATGATTTTTCATACTCCTGTCATATGGTATTTTAATTTTTTTCTTTTTTTTTACGTAAAAAGGATGGAAACTTTTCAACGTCACACATATCAGAATCTACCAAACAACGAAAACTATTTATTTATTTAACCTCGGTTCCTCTCAAGGACACGAGTAAATTGTTTAAGTAACGTCCTTCAACTCGATTGAAATTCCCAAAGGGGGAGAAACACTTCCCTGTTTCCTTTTTGGTGAGAAAAAAGTCCAGAAAGAATTCAAAGTGGAAAAACTTAGGGTATTCGAATGGATGCGTGTATCGAGTATACACATCACATAAATATAAGGAATCGCGCGCGCGCGCGCGGAATGATGTCCTGTTTATCACGAGTCTCTTGAATGGATCCATCGCTTCCGAATATACGGATATAAACGGACAAAATTTATTTGCCGCGCTTTCCTGTTATCGAGACCCGTTCAAAAAGTTTAATTGTTAAAAATCATCGTTAGACTGCGAATTCTGTGCATTCTGTTTATTTATAACTAAACGTAATCAAGAGGTATGTGTACTCGCGCAAATACGAAATATTAAATTATGATATTAATTAACAGATTTTATGCATTTTATTTATTTATATTTAAAACGTAACCAAGAGGTATGCGAAGAAGAACTCATGTAAAATGGAATATTAAATTATTATGTTAATTGATAGATTATATTCAACGTACATTATATATATATATATTTCTTGTATGTTTTTTCATATTAGTGTATGCCATAAATGCATAAAATCCGCGGTATAGTCATTAACCTCTTGAGGAATGAATTTTGAATGAATTTTAAATGAATTTTTCTGTTGCTCCACACAGATACACGCGAAACCAAAGCAATTTTTGTCTGTAAATCGATTTCGGTATAAAAACGTGCTGTCTCGCTTTAATGTGGAATTTATTTTCATCGTAAAGGGCATTATGTTGTAAGCGATGGTAATTTTTATACGAAAGCAAACGTACACATGTGTGTCGGTATCCCTCAAGAGATTAATAAGTTGCATTGCACTGATTTTCTTGCCATTTCTTTTTACGTTAAAAGGGGGATTATATTAACATTTTGCGATCGTGCGCCTGGAAATATACCGGAAGCAGAAAATTTGGATTGCGAAGACAGAAAAACAGGCTCGAAACTTGATCTATGTCTGATTAATTAAATGAAACTTGGTTTTGTAACGTGGTTTCACTCTCCGCGTTAGATTTTGAGGGTGCGAGGTAGTAGAGCGCGAATCTGGCCAGTTTTGTAACCGTCCGAGACGAAACGATTAGCCTGGAAGGGTAGGAAAGCTAAAGGGTTGAGTCGGGCCTGATAGGGAGCTGTCCGCGGCTCTATGATTAGGAGGTCAAGGAGCGAGAGCGTTATCGAGGAGTATTCTAGCCTGCTTAGGAGTTGTCCGAGAACTGGATATCTCAACGTCTCGCAGTCGAAAACTTAGCTGACCTTGGGCCCTCGCAGGGCCCGTATTTATACCTGTTCGGGGTAGTGGCAGCTAGCTAATCAGCGAAGGTCTAGCACGTACGTCCCATTTGACGCGTGTTTAAGCCGGTCGGCGCATTCTTAGGGTAATATTAACTTAAACTAAGGGTGCGTTACAGTTTTAATTATTTTTAAATTAACCCTTCGCACTTTTGAGGCCACATTCCCGTTGAACCATGTTAATTTATGTATGCTTATGTTTGGTTAATAAAAATATTAAATTTGAAACAAATCGTATAAATCTAACAAAATATTGAGAATTTCTTCATAGCCATTAGTGTAACTCAGAGACCTAAGAAAAGGTGTCTCGGAGTGTCGAACACCAACCTAATTAATAGAGCTTAATTAACGGAGTGCGAAGGGTTGACATTTCTATTTAAAATCAGAAATATATCAAGCTTCGAGCCCTAATTATTGGAGACGTAATGTATCGATATTATTCATTAAAAATTGGGTTGAAAATAGGTCTCGATAACGTGAAAGTACTTTTCTTTTTCTTAATCAGGTTATTTTTATTAATATAATATTATCAGCATTGAGGGGAATTTGCGTATCTATGACAATTTGACTTTCAAGTGATCACCACGCAAAGAGAACCATGCAGAGTAAATATACCGAAATAATGATGAATTAATGTTTAATTAGACATTAATTTTGCAACTGCTAAGACTTATTTCTTTGGCTAATACTCCCATATTTTTTCTTCTATTTTTACACGCCATCTGACGTAATGGGGAATATCATTGCAGACCATTTTCAACGTTATCGAGGAAAACAAACCTGTCGACCTCTATAAAAGGAATATCATGTACTGAGCGAGACATTTTCATTATTCTCTATATAGGGTGCCGCGACGAGGAATTGATCAGATGTCGATATCGTTGCAAATGGTTGACCCCGTGAAGAATCTAGGTGACCTTTGCAGGCACAAATGGGTCGAAAAACAGATTGTTTACTTGCGTTAAAGGTCGCTTTAAATATTGTTATAGGGCACACTAACTCCCTCCACGTCGATCAATATTATAAGCAAAAATTTGTGTGTTTTCAATGAAAAACACACGAATAACTGGAGAAATTTCGAAATTATTAGGTGTAGAAGTTAATTCGGTACCTTTGTATTCCATCGTTTATTATTTTAGTTTAAGTAGAACTATTTATATGTCATTTGGTTATTGTATGTTCAATTATCAACATTTTAGGTTTTCGACCAGGTCTCCATTACAATAAATCTATATGTATGTATATATATATTATATAATACAATGACCATCAGGTTGAAACTCAAGTTATGTATATAGAATATATAGATATATTGTAACAGAGATCAGATCGAGGATTTAGAATGTTCGCATACTTTAGTATACCAAAATGAAGATTAAATATTTCTACTTAAAATGGAATTATAAATAGATCGCGGATTTTTATACATTTATGGCAAATGAAAATATGTGGAAATCTATGAAAATCTCCATAAATGCAAGAGTATATAAAATATCAACAATAATATACATGTCACACCATTTTCTAGATAGAACAAATTTTTATTCGAGCTTAAAGTCGTCTGTTATCAATGAAAATATTAATTTACATGAACACCTGTAGTCTAGTTATAAATAATAGAATTTAGAGGGACAGAATTAATTCCTACACCTAATATATCTATTTAAACTAAAGTTATCAATTATTTAATACAGAAGCACAGAATTAATCCCCACACCTGATATTTAAAAACAAAAATCGATGCAAGATGTCTATCAAAACATTTCGTCCCATTAATTCCTATCTTTGCAAGCGATGCGGACATACAAGACAATCCTGACAAACGCGACGTCCCATATAAAAATCGAATCAAAGGGCGAAAAAGCTTTGTCAAACTAGCGGAAAGATATTTGTTGTGATAATAAATATTGAATATATAGCTGTTCTAGGGTGTAAATCATTACTGTAAAAGATTAGGATTACGAGATAAACACGCGTCGGGTTAGTTCGAGAAAAGGGGAAAAAAAAGAAACAGATAAATTTTCAAAAAAGCCCCGACTTTTTCTACGCGAAACGAGAGAAGGGGTTCCCCCCATTTTCTACCTGCATCTTGTATGTGTGTCCGATTGTGTTTGAAACGGGGAATATCTCATGCGAAAGTAATATGCACACACGCTCGCGGTGGCGTGTACGTATTTAAATATGCTTGTTAATGATTTAACTTGTACAGGGTGTCCCATAAATTATAGTACAGGAGCGCGGTTAAACGATGTCTCTTCTGTAAAATGAAAATGATTTTCCGAAAGTGTACGCTATATTATTATTATTTTTCATTTAAGATCGTCCCGGTTTCAATTTTAATTGTCATTAACAAAGTAGATGGAGGCACGCGTTCCGTTGTTTGTCTAGAAACCGAGAGGCAGAGAAATGGAATGATAAAAATAAAATTCTGAGCCTAGAATTAAAAGAGAAGGAGATATGGACAAAGATCGCTTTGGGGGAATAATTATTGTAACGCTATAAGCACACACATCCATCCTCCGCCCCCCCCCCCCTCATTTTTATCATGGACATTTTAATTTGTCCTAAATCGTAGTTTGGATCATTTACGTCGGAACAACGGGAATGAAATTGATATCTTTCGTTATCCCACGAGTATTTTTACGATTTGATTTCTCATGCTGATCGTGTCGTTGAATACAGGGTGTTGGGAAAAAGTACAACAAGGAACCGATCAACCTTCTTCATTTCGAAACCCTTAGACGATATTCGTGAACTGATTGATTTAGAAACGGATTCTTCTTTTTAAATAAACGGATCATACTCGGATCGCCTATGCGTTCGATGATGACATTATTTGAAAAGAGAAATTCAGTTTCAGGGGGAATTTATATTAAAAATATAGTAGAACTCCATTTGTACGTAATGACGACGTCGTGGTGTATACTTGGTTATTCGAACAGTTTGGTGAGCTCTTAGTATCTCGAACTCGACTCGCTAGCTATAGTTTACGGGAATTCGTGAACACTAGTTATACGAAGTACAGTAGAACCTCGCTTATTCGAGCAGGTCTGGCAGGACATGGCAGTTCCCATAATAGAGTAGTTCTCAGATAATAGAAGCTACGGGGGCCTAGAGGGTACTGAGCTCAGCTATGGGGGGGCTAGAATGTACTGGGCCCAGGAATGGGGGGTCTAGAGGGTACTAGACTCAGCTATGAAGGGTTTAGAGTGTAATGGGCTCAGGAATGGGGGTGTAGAGTGTACTGAGCTCAGCTATGGGGAGCTAGGGTGTACTAGGCCCAGAAATGGGGGTCTAAAGTGCACTAGACTCAGCTGTGGGGAATTTAGAGGATACTAGACTCAGCTATGGAGGGTCTAGAGTGCACTGGGCCAGGAATGGGGGGTTTAGAGGGTACTGAGCTCAGCTATGGGGGGTCTAGAGTGTACTGAGCTGAGCTATGGGGGTCTAGAGGGTACTAAACTCAGCTATGGAGAATTTAGAGGTCCTAGACTCAGCTATGGGGGGTTAGAGTGTACCGGGCTCAGGAATGGGGGTCTAGAAGATACTAGACTCAGCTATGGAGGGCCTAGAAGGTAGTGGACTCGGGTACAGGGGTTTCGAAGGTACTGGACTCAGCAATGGGGAACTGGAGGTTCCTATGACTATGGGCAGTTTAGAAGGTACTAGAGGCTCAGCTGCGAGTTCGTATATTCAAGGCTGAGCATGATTTTGTTCCTATAAACGAGGTTCTACCGTAACAGAGGATCTACTAACTATCCCCTTCATGAGCCCTCCACCACGGATTTCCACTCTCGATCATGGTTTAGGTAATAGAAGCTACGATGGGTTAGAGGGTGTACAACATATAGAGGGTACTCAGCTACGAGTTCGTATATTCGAGGCTGAGCATGCTTGTATAAAAGAAGTTCCATCGTATCCAGTTATCCAAACCTGATTATACCCACACCCATTCTAATAAATGGAGTTCTACCGTAACAATGTGTATAATTTGAATCCGGGACTCTTACATATCGTATTTTCAATGTACACCCACTATACGTATATACAAATATATATATTCACTTACGCGTATACGTGCGTGGATATGTGGTATTCAAGGTATACATACACACATACATACGTGCTCATACTCTATGGATTTCTATATATGCACAGGCACACAGGCATGTACCAATGGTGTATGTGTTCGTACATGTACCGGAACGTATGTGTTTCTCGTGCATGTACGAGCGTATGTAACGCGTGTATGTGTGTATACGCGAACGAATGACACACGAGAGATGCATACATACATATATACACATACACATATATTACTTAGAATATACTTTCCTATATACAGGGTGTTTTAAAGATTATAGTACAAGAGAAAACTGCGGCCTTTGTAGGTGTAAATGCAACATAATTTTTTTATCGTTGTGCATCCTTCGTCGAGAAAGGATTGAAAATTGTAAGAGCGCTCTGGGGCTCGGGAATAAACATTCTGGCTGCAAAAACTAGCAAATCTTTGAATCGAAAGTGAAACGAACGTTTCGGCTATTGATGTTCAATTTTTTCGCGAAAATTGGCACTAGGAAAAAATTGAATAATCTGTGGATTAACTCGGGTCGAATAGGAAGGATTTAGTAAATTTAAAATTGGTTTTATTAAAATTCTATCAAATGCAATACAGAATGAAATGAATTGCATTTCATAAATTTTAACAGACATTGTTTTATGGATTTTGAATTTTCACGCATTTATTTACTCGCGGGGCTTAATTTGTTAAACAATATACACGCATTAAGCAGTTTTTAGCTTGTGCGTTATTTTATGAATGTTTTTAGAGTGAGAAATGAAAATGATACTGAACAAGTTTGAATTGAATAAAAAGAAGATTTTCTAGAGGTGTTAACCCTTCCGTTATGACAGTAGTAATTTAGTATTTTAACTATCCAGATACACAATTATTGTTTACAACATTGTTCCTCAAGTAATGTATTATTTGAAATAATGTATTTCAATGAACGTCATCGAAATAAAATAACGTATTCACGATGACTAAAAAATAAAGTCTTCTGTGGTAGCGAAAGGGTTGAAAAATAAATGAATCGAATGAACGGTAAATAAATAAAAAATAAATGAATTTCAATTTTTTCAAGTGAAGCACTTTCAAGTGCAAATAAGACGCGAAACAATTGAAAAATGTCGAAAGTCGTTTTATTTTCCAGTCAAAGATTTCGAAGAATTACCTCTTGCACCATTATTCTTTGATCACCCTGCATTTTCTAATATTTTTCCATACAAGCAGACTCTTTTTAACTGAATAAAATATAACCCAATTTCATACGCTTTTTTTCAGGATCTTTAGATTATCACTGCGACGGTATTAATTAATTGATTATTGTAGAACCGTACCGATAAGCGAGTTAATTAATTAACGCATTATTTAATTCATTATAGTGGTATTAAAATAGTACACACCTGTGAGAAATCTGGAGATAAATTAACGTGTTTTTTTTCTCATTTATTATTTATTTTTAATTCGAATTTGTAGAAGTTAATTGTATTAATTAATATATATGTTATATATATAAAACAACAAAACATATATATATATATATATATAAATGCATATGTATATTAATTAATTGTATGAATTTAATATATGTTTACATTAAGACGTTTACTTTTTTTCTTCGTTACTTTGGAAAAGCCTCTGGTTTGCTTTCTTAATTACTTAATTATATAATCGTTGAGTGAGAATTCGAATAACGAGTGATTGAACGATCATGGGTGTTCTCATTTTCTCATAACTATGATTATACTAGATAATAAAGTTATTTAAAATGAAATTGAACATTTTCTTTATTTTTAATATTTCCCTCATGTCGAATTGGATCAATTGACGTAAATTAACGTTGTTTCAGCTATTAATTTAAATGTACGTCGGTATTATACAATTACTTCTAACGTTAATAGTTCGAATTGGATTCCACTAGAATCATCTTTTACATATCTGTTTACATGTCTAACGATCTTTTATTCATTTTACTTATTCAACTTCATCATTTCGAAATAGATTTTACGAAACCATTGTTTTCGTAAAATCTATTATATACGTTTTCGTTTATCCCTGAAACCGAAACCGTAAGTAAGCTATTCAAATCTTTTATTTTTTCTTTACTGCGTTCAAATATGTTAAATAAGTTCCTGAATTTGTTTCTATTACGATAAAATATTTGCACGTTGGATCGAGCAACTTCTATGAACGAATCGAATATTCAGATAGCGACAAGTTTTCGAATGATTTATTCCCACAATTCAGTAACTTTATTTAAACTAGTTACATGTCTACAAAATGCACTTTCTTCTTCTAACTAACAAATGAAAATACAAGTACACGTTGGCGGCGTGCATGAAAGGTATGAACTGATATTTTTTAAATACCGACACAGTTTCACATAGTAGATTTTAAACCATCGAATTTTCAACGCAGAGCGTTCCGTTTATCTAAAAATCGATTAACGACAATAATATTTAATTAATTGGCTGTTCACCGATTAATTGCGCTTCTGCCATAACAATATTAACGGAGAAAGTTGTACAAAGTTTTGCAGAAGTAACATTCACGTCGGAAACCCCCTTGGATGTTCGTGTCTTTGTTTTGTTTTTTTTTTTTTTTTTTTTTTTTTTTAAAAAAGGGCCAACTTTAAGCAAATTAAGGGGCGTATTCTTTTTCTTTTTAAGATCCAAAAATAGTTTTTTTGATTTGACATTCTTGTTAAGGTCTTTCAGATATCTCTACCGAATTAACATTAAAATATTAATAATACATACCGGGCCAGTTTTGCCTGACGTGATGTAGAATATTATTTGTAACTTTGAAGCAAATTGAGCATGACAGTTGTACATTTAATGGAATCTTGTGCGTACATGTATAAACAAACCTACCAAATTTGAAAGGGTTATGTCCAGTATTTTGGCTGGAAAAAATCATGAATATTGCCTCGAAGCTAATACGTAGTAATCCCTTAACATGGCTTGGAATATTGTTTATAACTTCGAAACGAATTGAGCAGGGCAGTTGTAAAACAGAATCTTCTACGTATACGCATAAATAATAGGGATGTGCGGGATCCCGGTCGGGACGGGAATTCCTCCCGTGATCAGGATGGAATCCCGAGAATTTCAGAATCCCAAATACATCCGGGATTCCCGGGAATTTCGAAATCCCGTACATTCGAATTGCTGAAATCTTCAAGAATAACTCGATATTTCATATCTCGAACATTTTCTAGGTCCCGTACATTCTCGAGAATCCCGGATTTTTGCGGGATCTCGTGTATTCTCGGGAATCTCGAATCAACTCGAGATCCCGGATATTTTCGTAAGTCCCGGACATTTTACGGGAATACCGAATATTTTCGGGAACCCGCACACCCCTAATAAATAAATTTGCCAAATTTCAAAAATTTACGTCAAGTACCTCAACTGCAAAGAAAAAAAGCATGAATGTTGCCTCGAAACTAATCCAAAAAAAGAGTACACCCTTAATTGTTCAAATTTGAGTGCTGAATAATTAAACATTGCAATGAAAGATATCAGGGAACTCGTACACAAGTTACCAATTTAAGCTCGACGCGAAACTACAAGTGACTGCGGTAAATACTAAAATATAAGTTACACTTTCCTCAGGATTGTTAATGTAAATTTGTCTACTTTTAAATTCTACTCTTAATTTCTAGCGATCACGAAATATACGTCTACTAGCTCCAAGTCTGCGAAACCACACTCAATCCTAACTAAGACTCGATGATTCTACGGAACTGCGACACTTGGCCAGGTAGGTGAAATTGAATCGCCTAAGGCCGCCATTACACATATGTTTAACAACTGGGACGTGAAAGCTTATCCATGATATTAAAAAACAATCGATAATAATACTAGGGAAAATCGACTCTATCGATACGTTGACCAGACCTGGACACTTGCGAAATAACTTTACTTGAAATGTTATTTTATATCATAATTATTTTCATACCTGTGATCACTTTTGAAATAACATTATTTGAATTATTATTCATCAAATAATATTTATTCAAATAACATGTTATTGAAATATTATGCACTTGAAACATTAATTCAAATAACACGTTATTTCACTTCATAATTATTTCAAATACTTACTTGAAATAATTTTGAAATTGTCTTTCGAAATAATACGAGGTGAAATCGCAAGTACATGACGATTTTGAATTTAAATGCGATAAAGATGAAATAGTAAACAATTCCACGTTTGTCATCCAAAAATGTTCAACATTTACGACAGAAGGAAACGAGACATAGTCGGCAACTTCAGGTTTGTCGAAGCCAAAGATTTTATCCCAACTCTGGCCCATCCACGTGCACAATAGTTATACCTGCGTCGACGCACACCTTTAAATGCAGGTCTAATTAATAATTTAATAAACTATCTAACTCGCAGCCGTTTGCAGCTATTCTCTATCGTCACCTTTCTCTCATGATACAATAGAAGTATACAGGGTGACTCTGAATTAGTGTAAGAACCGGAAATGGCGTGTAGCTGAGATAATTCTGAACAATAATTTCCTTTGCAAAAATGTCAGATGGTGCTTCGTTTTTGAATTAGTAACGAAAAACCAGCGACCAATCACAGCGCCGGAATAGCGCGCGCTCAGCTGACTATGCTCTATGAGCGCGCGCTGTCATTGGTCGATGGTTTTTCGTTAATAATTCAAAAACGAAGTATCATCCGACATTTTTGCAAAGGAAATTGTGGTTCAGAATCATCTTAGCTATCATTTCCGGTTCTTACACTAATTCTGGGACACCCTGTATATTACTCCTAAAGCTCAGTTCATATATATACAAATAAGAAATTTCCTTGTTATTAATAGGTTTGAAAAAATTTCATTCAACTGACTGACTTAAACTCAAGTATTAAATCGATACCTTTATCTAAACAATTCTTAACCTAGATTAATAGTTTTGACAACATTTTTCTGATTCGATTAACTAACCTAAACTCAATCATTCAACCGATTCATTTATCTAAACAATTTTGAATCTCAATTTAAATCATTCCTATCATAACAGCCTTTCCTTTTCGTTGTTTTGTGTAAAAAGAAACACGACACGTATAACGATACTACGAGTATCACTTATTTTTAACAAGGACCCATGCACAATACGAGAAAGGTTTATAATTAATCATACAGATAGTAAACATCAAACTCGGACAACATGCACACGTCGTTCTTTAACCGAAGGAATAATTATGCACGTACGAATTTGTATCGCGATCAAACAAAAGTGTCCCGAAAAAAATGTAAAGAAGGAGAGCCGAAACGAGTAATAAACAGAGTTAAACGAAAGGGGGTGATACCGAGAAACGATGAAAAAACCAAACGGTAAAACGAGGAACAAAAATCTTAGTTTATAACATAGAGGATCGCAGAGAGTATTTTTTCTAGGTATGTTAATGGACCAGCTAATCAGAAACCTAACGAGAAACATTGCGAGAGCGGAGATGAAAAGTTTATCAAAATGGGTAAAAAAAAAAAAAAAAAAACGGAAACATAAATATACTGTGTTAAATAAGATACGAAGTAGCTGAGAACTGAACTAATCCAATGGATATACAATGTAAATTTTGACCTGTGAACTGGTCACTCTAACATAATAGCATTCTGATTTAAAGTTTGTGAAATTAAACGCCGTCTATGGAATCGACGCTAAAGTTTTTGTTTAGGCTACGCGTTGGTTCCTGACTGAACATGTCGTTCGAACGATACCGGTCTTCGTGGAATTAAAAGCAAAGAATAAAGATTACATCGACCAAAATACTTTGAACACAAATATCGATATATATTTGATTAAAATAGTCTAAATAAAGATGGAGGATTTCCTTTGCAGATAATTTAATATATTTACTATGAATGATAGCGAAGTCATGAATGTATTCAATTATCTAAATAATATATTTCTTAGATAATTTAATGCATTTAATATATTTTATCAAAACAATCTAAATAAAGATGGGGGTATTCTTTGCAGATATTGTGAACTAATGTTTACTTGTTAGTCATTGAATTAGAACGTTGCAAATCTTGATTGTTAGGGTTATTATTGTTTGCATGTATAATAGACGCTCTGTTATGTGAATTATGTTCTATTATACGAATCGTAGATTTCCTGTTATAATACCGTATATACAGTGGGTGTAGAATGTACTCGTACACCGATCAATTTCTCAAAAAACTTTTGTGTGAAATTGTAGTTTCTTAACTTCTTTTTGTATAATCAATGATACTTTACATATTCTCGGAAGTCTCTAAGATAGATATACTCCAAACAATATTTACTAGTTAATATAATTTGTGAAATTAACAAAAAAATGTGAAAAATTGCTGAAATTTTCAAGAATAACAGAACTTTCGGAAACCCCAGATATTATTCTATATCCCGTACATTGTCGGGAATCCCGAACATTTTCGAGATTCCGTACATTCTCGGGAATCCCGGATTTTTGCGGGATCTCCTGTATTCTCGGGAATCCCGCACACCCCTAGTTACAATAATTATAAAATCAAAAGGAAATCCCACGAAGGAAGTATTATATACTTATAAATTAATGTAAATTTTTTTTTTTAATGAAGTTTAAAA